GGTGATGAATAGCTGTCTTCCCTCTAGTCTTACACTGCTAAATTAGGGACGGTTAGCGCACATAGCCCTCGTGTAGCTTTGCGCGGAATTCAAAAACAAACAAACAATAATATTTCCTGGAAAGATATCATAAAATATTGAATCATTTCTGTTGTGTATATATTTTTTATTGCATATAGTGTTTGGGACATCAGTTTTTACTTTCATTTTATTTATTTTTGTTTTGTTTCGACGAAAGCGCTAAGAAAATACTTTACAAATAATAGAAAACGTAATTATTAATATTATACACATATTAATTAATGAAACTTATATTTGAATTGAATAAATTATACTTTAGGGTACAAAACTTGCTTAAACAGAAGCTGTAATGCCTGCTGAGTTTGTTTTCATTATAGCAAGATAATATGTAGTTATTAATATTTGTACAGTACTGTAAACGTATACTGTTCGTGTACTTTTTTATAATTACCCAATTTTAAATATTAGTTAATACGTAATAAGAAAGAAGAACATCAAATAAACATAAACTTGATTATTTGTAAAAAGCCCATGCTTAAACTGATGAAATATATAATTATTATATACGTTTATCTCCATAGGACTTCATAAGATTTCAAAGACATGAATAGTTTACAAATTATTCTCCTTTTCTTCTTCGTATGACAGTGGTAAAAGCAGTGTATTCAACACGTTTGAAGAGCTTGAGATTAATTTCCTGTTTTTATTTGTTAATTATATATATAAAACTTTATTACCAAATCTTGCTCGAGCCTACTAATTTGACTGAAGCATTAAACATGAAATGGCACCAGTAGATACAAGTGGTCATGATAAGACTGTTTGTCTGGGATTTGAGAGTATGAGCTGTGTCAAGAAGCGATCGAGTCATCCAGTCACCTTATCTGGGAAGAGTGCGAACAGTTTGGCAGCAGGCCTAACGGGATTCTCTATGGACTAATTTGGCCATGGTATTTGTGAAGGGATCACATTACCTTCAAATAAACCTAGTCATAGCCTACACTATAGGAATAGAGCTTTATAAGCCGAATACGCAAAATTTTCTCAAGTCATGTAATATAATTATTAGACGCAATAAAGAGTTAAATAATTAATGACTTAACCTATTATCATAACGTATTTTTTAGAGATGATTTTTCGTGTTGTATATTCGTTAAAAAAACATTTATGAATCCAGGAAGTGTAAGACTGTCATATGTTCCAGATGTTTAGGAGTTAAAAATATGTTAGGCCAAAGACTGTACTCAAAAACACGTATAGACAGACAATGCACACACCAACGTACACGCAAACTATATATATATAGTGTAAATTCAGTTTTGTAATTTTTATGTTGGTTTCATGTCAATATTTATTATTAACAAAAATTCATTATTTTAACTAGAATGCTTGAAAAGTTTTCTTAATTTACATTTTACAATTTCATTTCTATTCTTGTAAAAGGGCTTCACTAGGGCTCTTATATTCTAAATGCAATATCACTTTCACAGCTCATGAGCAATTCTGGGCATTGCTGCAACTTAAAACAGCTGATAGGTGGTAGACGTGTATGTTCCTAACCTTGTGTGGGTGTTGTATCCCATTGTACAGTTGTACTCTAGATTTACTTAACTGTCTTTCAAGTGCGGCAAACTTTTTTTTGGAGGGAGGGAAGCAGGAGGGGGGTAAATGTCTGATAAATTGTTTAAAATAGTATCCAGTGTAAGATGTTGCTGCTACGTTACGCCCTTTTACCCTCAATGTTAACACAACTATTATGTTTACTTTATTAATAATTATATGTATATGTTTCTTAATCCAATCTGTTATTATAAAAATACACTACACAAGAAACACATTCTTCGATTTATAAATCTTATAAAGTAGCCTATAATTAATACGACAAATACATTATCAGAGCTCTTTCGACGAATATAAAATTGCGTTATTGATAATGTTGCAAGAATATGTATAAGTAGTGTCAACTATCTAACACTTTTTTAAGCACTCAATATATCTGGTGTAATAAAATTTTACCAAAATAATTCAGTGCTGAATTTTCACTTATCAACTCTTCTAAAACATTGCTTAAAAACTGCGAAGTTTCTAAAGATAGTTCTAGTAATAAATCAAACTTAAGTGAGAAATGACATATAAAAACTGATAAATTTAAATGATTGGATTATGAAATTACTTTACAAAATATTATGTTCTTTCTACGCGGACAACGTGACATTAATCATTGTAACTGTAAATAACATCTTAAATTTGAAAACAAATTTTCTTAAGGTATATAGTAAACTATTTTCTACATTTTTTTTGTTCAAATAGAGTATACATGATTACATAATTTCAGTTTCAGTTGCAGTAAGACCAAATCGATTTTTTTTAACATGAGAAATGTTTATGGATAAAAGTATTTGGTTGTTTGTTTGTATTTAAGCATAAAGCTACACAATGAGCTAACTGTGCTCTGCCCACCACGGGTATCGAAACCCGGTTTCTAGCGTTGTAAGTCCGCAGACATACCGCTGTGCCACTAGGGGCATTTGGTTGTTAATAGATTTTCTTGGTTTGTTTTAACGCAAAGTCACACATTTGGTTATGTGCGCTCTGTCTATAACGGGAAATCGAACCACGGATTTTAGCGTTGTAAGTCTATAAACTTACTGCTGGCCAACCAGGCGACAGCTTTTTTTAGATAAATTTCAAAGATCCTTCTTACATGTTAGTTAATTATATTTATTTACAATTAAAATGTATACAACGTTAAAATCTTACACAATAAATAGTAATTAAACAGATGGTGTCTCAGACCTCGAAACATATGTAGAGTCATTTTTGGGCAAGTCCCTGTTTTTAATAACTACCTATTGTGTAAGATTTTAATGTTGTATTCCTTTTAATTGTAAACAGATGTTTTACACAAGTGTCGTTTTTAAATTAATTAATAATATCTATTTATGGTGCTTCATTTGTTAATATATTACCTACAACTGTTCCATAAAGTGTTTCTAAATAACAAGTACTTTGAAGTAAGAAACACCTATCATTACCATTCGTCCAACTTACCTTCACATCAGGATTGAACAAATACAATAACGGATTAGAACGAAGTCGCTCGGCTTCAATCTGCATTCTCCGAATTTCTTCTCTTCTTTGTGAGCTTAGCTCAGAAACCTCGGCTCTTGTCATTACCTTAGCGTTCACTGTTACAGCCTGTATATCAGGAAGGCTCTTCTTTCTCTTAATAACAGCAGGTTTACTAGGCTGGAGTTGGGACGGAGGTTGTTTTTTCGCTGCCCCACGATAAAGTGACGCAGTTCTTTGAGGAGTGTAATCTGAGATTTTGTTCTCTGTTGCGCTTTGATGAGTATTAGCAAAACGAGTACTGCTACTTGTTTCATTGAGATTAGGAGAAATGATATTAAGTATAGTATCAGTTTGGCACTCAAAGTTTTCGGCATGGAGGTTTGGGAGTGTGGACCGTCGGGGCACATTTCCTTGAGAAATATCTGCATTACCCATGCTTTCAAAAGTTCCAGGGTCAGGAGAATAATCCGTAGTATATATAATAGGATTGTGTGAAAAATTCATAGGAGATTGAATAGTCTTAGATTTGTTAATATTAAATTTTTGAGCAGATTGGCTACCATACGAGTTAACATTTAAATTGGTATTCTCAAAACCATATTGGTCCAAATGCTCAGATAATCCCGGGTTAATAGAGTAGTTGCCCTCTCTTTCTCTAAAGCTCTGTCTTCTCTGGTTTCGAAAAGATCCTTGTGGATTCCTTGAGAATGTTTCATTCCCCGTAGGTACACATGAGGAATCAAGATAGCTCACAGGATTCTGGTTGATTTGAGGTGGTTCTCGAACTGCGGTATTTCCTGTGCCTGGAACTTGAGCGGATCTATTACCATAACGATCAATATTCATAGTTATAGCGTCCGAAGAGATCATTTCTGTTTGAATATTTCCACTTTGGATAGAACCTAAGTTTTCTTGAGGCACATTGACTTGGGGTAAGTAACTTGTATGGGATACCTGTTGAGTTTGTTGATTCGACGGTATAGTTGACGGTCTTCGTATATTGTTTTCTGGTTTTTCCTGATGCTCATCTTGTTTTATTTTCAGCACATCACTCCCTATTATGAAAAGGTTAATCAATACATGAAAGTTTTTTTCAATACCAGAAACGTATTTCACAATATCATAACGACATACATTATTTCGCATATTGCTGAAAAAACGTACTTACATTTGAAATTTTTACTTTATATTTCTTAAAGTATAGCAGGTGCAATGCTATGATTTACCTGATATAAATATTTTTTATGGTTTTTTGTTTTTGTATAAAATTAACAAAATTCTGCAGTAAAAGTGATAGAATGAAAAATGAAAAGGAAATTATAGCAGTAATATGTTAAAACAGTGAAATTACCTACCTTGCAATTACATATATTTCCGGTTTGATCTTAGAAACTTTTACATAATGTAATACTGTATTAGAGCTTGCCTATTGTAATAGTCATTTGTATTGCATTTTTGAATTAATTATTCAGCTTATTATGTTTCTCATTGAACAGTATTATGAATTTGTCCTTCAAAGTGATCTGTTTAACTGTTAGCATTGTCCTTCAAAGTACTGAGAATAAGATAAATTGGACAAGCACGAGAGAAATACGTTGGATCAACCAGTTGTCATAAGCACAGATAAGAATACTAGTAAACGTCTCTGTTATTTTTAAACTTTTACTGTTACTTTTAAACATTCTTTTGCTTACAACAATAATCAAAATAACAAGTGGCGTTTCTATCCATAGTACCGGGTCATCATCAGGTAACAGTTACATTCAAAATTTTGAGTTGGAATGTAATTTTTACCTGATGATGACCCTATACTATGGATCGAAACGCTGTAATCATTAAAACCAGAGTTTACCTACTCTAAAAGTTGCTGGTATTGTATTTTCAATTAATTTCGTAATAAACATAGCTCGTATACTAGTTTACATAATTTGCGGCCATATACATTATATTATTAAAAGTATTTATAAAAAGAAGGGAATGTCTCCCTAATTATGTAACCAATTCTTGACCTACAGATAGGTGAAATAAAACTCGATTTCTCTTGTAATGCACCTGCAAGTATATTGAAAGTTTTGAGACTGCTCTTTCTGTCCTGTTGGCGGCTTTCCAGAACGTCCCAGAGTGATTCAATTGGAGTAAGGTCGACGATCTGGGTTGATTAAGGTAAATTCTAAAAGTTTAGCGTAATGTGAGGCATGATTACGTTGAAAGAAGTGGGAGTCACTCTTTATGGAATTTAATGATTGTATGGAGTGCAGAAATGCTCAGAATCTACCATTATTATACTGTGTTCACGGCTTTTCTTTTCTTCAAACGTTACAAGTTAAACCAAATCACCTGAAAGAGATCTTCATCTCGATACTAATTAAACCTCTGTCTTTCCACGAACAGCATGACTCAAACATATCCAAAATATTTCTAGACTGACGTCTAACTCAAACCTATCCGTCGAAAGCAAAGAATTTGTAGCTGGTTTCATTACTACAGGCAGCGATTTCCATTAATTTCCAGTGGCACAGCAGTATGTCTGCGGACTTAGAATGCTAGAAACCGGGTTTCGATACCCGTGGTGGGTAGAGCACATATAGCCCATTGTGTAGCTTTGTACTTAACTTCAAACAAACCTATTATTTTCCACGCCAATTTCGACGCTAGAAGCACCATGAAAGCTAATGGTTTGCATTAACACTGTTACAGTTTACAGGCTGCATTCCATCTGTGAAACAATGCAGCATAAAAATTCGGGCTAAAATGTCTCGTACGCAATTATCGTTAATGCTACATCCAATAATCATTTACATTTGAAGTTCTATGAGCTCCTTTTTCTGTAGCATCACGACCTTTAACCTTCTGTGGCAGCTGCTGATCTTTACTAACTCCGTTCCTGTCGTTGTTAGCATTTTTGTTTGTTTGTAGTTAAGCATGAAGCTACACAATGGGTTATCTGTGACAACAGCAGACAATTATGTTTGTTTGGTTTAAGTACAAAGCTACACAATGGATTATCTGTGACAAAGCAGATATTATGTTTGTTTGGTTTAAGTACAAAGCTACACAATGGGTTATCTGTGACAAAGCAGATATTATGTTTGTTTGGTTTAAGTACAAAGCTACACAATGGGTTATCTGTGACAAAGCAGATATTATGTTTGTTTGGTTTTAAGTACAAAGCTACACAGTGTGCTTTGCACACCACGGGTACCTAAGCTCGAATTGTAGCGTTATAAGCCCTCAAACGTACCCTGAATAACAAAGTGGTAGCATCATGTTAGCCCGAACAGTGTTTTTTATTATTGCTAATGGTGCAGACACCTAATAAAAGTTGAGCATCAGAAAAGTGCGAAGAATGGCACGAGAGTTCCTGTATATATATATTCTGTGCAACTTGAATAAACAGACTTTTGTGAAACTTGAAGGTCAGGGGAAGCGTGTAAAATATATATAAAAAAATACTGACACAATTCAACAATGATTTTTTTTGACATCATCTACTTTTAAAACAGACTGTCAATATTGTACTTACCTAAAGATGACAGAAAAGCTCGACAAATTTATCGATTGCAAGTAGAAACATAAAAGTCCCCTGGTGGACCAACGTAAGAGTACGGACTTACAACACAAAAATCAAGGGGTTCGCCTCCCTCCATTACGTAGCTTTGTGTTTGTTGGGTTTTTGTTTCTTATGTTAAAAAAAAAAACTGCAAATGGCGCACAAAATCTTCCAGTCTCATCACCTACTGTAAATGGAATGATAAGATCTTGCCACTAACTCTATCCACCGATACTAATATCAGCGTATTAGTAATATACTAATATGTACATAAAATGTACATGCAGTTTTATTGGAGCTGACTCCATTACTAGATATCGGCATACTGTTACAACATTTGGTAATTTAGTGTACAAACATTTATTGATCAGCTGTTGCTGTCATAGCTGGATCTGCGACGAAACAGAAATTACTACCCCACGGTAAATCAGAGTAAATTGGGTTTCAATACTTGTGGTGGAAACATCACAGATAGTATATTGTATAGCTTTGCGCTTAACGAAAAACAATGTTCCAGTTTTCTTTCTTCTGCCCATTATCGGTGTCTCGGCTGTAAGCTTGATGGCTTATAAGGCTTAAATTTTAGTTTTGATCCCTGTGGTGGGTAACGCACAAATAACCCATTGTGCGTGTTTGCGCTCTTGAACAAACAAACTTTACCCGACTATTTCATAAAATTGAAACATTAAGAAATAAAATAAAAGAAGTATTTTGTGCGCTTTCTGTTATAAATCATGTCATGTTGGAAACCTGAAATGTTTTAAAATATCCATTATAAATAATGTCATGTTGGAAACCTCAAATGTTTTAAAATATCTGTTATAAATCATGTCATGTTGGAAACCTCAAATGTTTTAAAATATCTGTTATAAATCATGTCATGTTGGAAACCTCAAATGTTTTAAAATATCTGTTATAAATCATGTCATGTTGGAAACCTGAAATGTTTTAAAATATCTGTTATAAATCATGTCATGTTGGCAACCTCAAATGTTTTAAAATAATCTTTAGAAATAAAGTAAATAGATAGACGAAAAAAAATCCCAGTTTCTGAATTGCTATTTAAGTCAAAATAAAGTAACTAAAATAGTGTATTCAGTTTTAGCATTACAGAGATGAAGTTATTAATGTGTGAATTATTATAGTTATGATGTAACCCTAAGTTGTCCCTTAGTCATGTCCCCCGATGGAACAACGGTAAGTCTTCAGATTTAGAATGCTAAAATTGGGGGTTCGAGTCATTTCGGTGGACTCAGCAGATAGCCCGGTGTGGTTTTGCTATAAGCAAACACACACACACCCTTAGTCATAAACTTGTTAAACTGAATTATTAATCATTTTGTAGATCTGTACTAAAACTCGTGCTGCGAAGCATAAATTCACACACATATGAATAATCATAGTGCAGTGTTAAACTATAGAACATCGCTCTGGAATAATAAAGTTTAGTAAACTTTTTGATAACTGTGTAAGTGCAATAAAAGACCGTGGATTACATCACAATCTTGTGAGCTTTATCTCAAATTTAGACATTTGTTTTTTGTTGTTGTTTTTTTGCATCTGTTAAGTTTCGTGACTTGTTTTTATACACAGAAAAAGGCAAGAAAGGCATTAATTAAATGTTAAATAATGTTAATAAATATATGTTAAATAAAAAACATTCAAATTATGTTTCACTTTTCTTTTGGGCTAATGATTGTCTTATGTTGTTTTGATGTGTCATCATTTTTTTTTATTATAGCCAGCAAGTGACTCGGGCCTCTCTGAACCTCTGATATGTCCTGGCTATGACGTACTTACTATTCAAACCCAATTGGCAAAGAACGCCAATGAACAAAGTCCCACCTTCTTAGTCTTAAAGGCCTTTGTAACTTACCTGACTGTTGAAATTCTGGGGCGAACTGTTGGGCTATTAATCTGGCAAAGTCAGAATCTTCTCTGGCATGTACTGCAGAAATATCAGCTTGTTCTGCTTTTCCTCGAGCTGTTGCCGTTCTGGAAAGGGGAAAGATATATCTTTTACCTTCTTGATATTAATCTCAAATAAGTATGGAAGTAAACTAGCTTAGCCATAATCATTTAGATTTTATACAACAACATAAAAGTTTCTGGTTTCGGTTAACATGTACACATTTACTTTCAAATAGCATGATGAGGATAAACAACTATTTTTTTTTGTATCGTCAGGAACTCAAAGAGGCATACCTTGAGTGTTTATGACTTTAATGACAATTGTAATAACCGAATATCTTATGGTATAGATCGACTGATAAATAGAACAATTAGTGAAAGATACATATATATATAATCAGATAAAGGCGCCTGTAGATATACTTACCTATTATACATTGGTATTAATATCGAAATATAAACAAATATGAAGGTTAGATACTGGTAGTTCATGGTTATACCGATAGGAAATCTTTTGATAACTTATAATCTAAATTATATGAATTTTGTTCACGTTGATATTAAGTTAAAGTGACATCCTACGCAATATCGCTCATTCTAGATATCTTACTGTCCATTGCAACAATATAATATGTTTCTTTACTTGGCCCAATAAAGTTCACAGTAGTTCATTGTCGAAGTATTAACATATAACTAGTAGAAAGCAGCTCAAACAACATAACACAGAAACATAAATTCAATAAAAGGTAGTTTTCTTTGAAGTTTAGTGTCATCGTTTGAACAACATGAGCATTTTATGTGGCCGGCAGGGATAACGAATTTATCTCGAAGACATAAGCGTCACGTGTGAACCAAAACTAACATATTATGGTACTTAAAGTCTGTAATTATCGAGAGCAGTTAATTAAATCTATTTCAACAATCAATTCTGTAATACTGACAGATTAAATTGTATGCTTTGTAAAACAAAACAAAGTATACTCAACTAATCATTCAAAGGAGCTATGACTTAAACTAACAATAGTCAAATAGCAAACATTGTAATTAATGTTTAGTGAGGAGTCTACTGAAATGAATAATTAATTCAAAAATATGATAATGGCAGCTTTTACAGTAAGCCTAATGTAAAAGACTTGCAATTGTACTAATTAAATTCCTAATTATCGTTGTCCATAAACAACTTTTAAGTAGTAAAATAATTAATTAATTACTCTTTTTCAAATTATAGTAATTGAAATTAAACATTATTTTCAAAGTTTCTGTTAGAATGGTTAATACATTAGAGTTTTTGTAACTGTTATACACGTGATAAATATTCGAAAAACAAGTGAAGTAGGCTTAACACTTAAATACTGAAACAATATTATCATATATTTGAATCAAGTCATTGTAACTAAAGACAACTTCTAGCTAATGTTAAATAATTAGCTAGTAAATATTCCTGGATACATCTTATTTGTGAGTTAAACTTTATCGTATACACGGCCTGAGTTCTTCACATTATCTCTAATTATAGACACGTGCGTTAAGAAATAACTTTTTGTATTCACAGATGTACACCTTAAGAAAAAAAAAAAAAGAGGAAGAAAGATACCGTTCTACAACTACAAAAACTTAGAGATCTACTTTTGGATGTTTATTTGTAGCGAGAGTAAAAACCCCGAAAAGTTGGAGAAGAAAACGTAACGTTAAACCTAAGCAATCTCAGAAAAGCAGTGTTTAATCCACATTCGGTTTTTGGCATATATTTCGAGTTTTTTTCGGTGTAACTGCACAATTACCTTTCCTAAAAGAGAAACATGAACATACTAAACGTTACTGCAACTTCAGGTTTATTAAATAGTCTCACATTTAGATCAACTTGAATTTGGTGAGCATTATAATAACTTTTCGTAAAAGTTCAAGGAAAGGTGAGTTTTAATTGCCCAAAATGAAACAGACGCTCATTTCAGTTAGACTGTTTTTATAGCTTTTTACATAATTTCAAAGCAAAATTGGAAAAAAAAACAGCCAACCATGAAATGACGGCTGGTTTTAATTGTGTTCGAACAATAGATTGCTCAGTTATTATTTTAGTTGAATCCTTATGATTTGAAACAATTATTTTTAACTTCATTATTCGTAATTTTTCAGCTTCTATAACAAAGAAGTGATTCGCCAGTGTATCGCACTATGCTAAGTGTATATAATTTAAAGAACCAAGTAGTTGCAAAAAATATAAAATAATCTATATTTCCGAAGTACCTAAAATGTGTGCATTTTTTTACCAAGTCCATACGGTCTAATGTGTTCAGTTCATGACAGCATGCGTTAGGTTAACGAAGCTTTAAAAGCCCAACACAGACTTTGGAGGAGGAGATGGAGTTACACACTTGCTGTGCAGTAAGGAAATTGCACTATGTGTTACAATTTTATTCAAACAACTGAGCATTTTCCATAACACATCCTTATCGATATTTTCGAATAAAGATACAGAGATGACTTTGAAATATCAAACATGGGCCTATATAAGTGTTAAAATGCTGTCTTGTATTTTTAAATGATTAAAACACTTTATGTGCAATATCTACAGAAAGTTCTGAGAAGCTTTCTTTTTTTTTCTCTCTCAAGTTACTTTTCTTCATTGTTTTCTTGATGTAATATGCTAGTGGTTTTAAAAATATAGTTTTATAGTATTTTTAACAAATTAATAAGTTTTAAATAGAGACCTTCTTAGCATAATACAAATTTTGATACTAAAATTATGGTTTATGACACATTTCTAAGATAGTGGTATTTGACTTATTGCTTTCATATGTTTAATTGAATTGTAAGTTTGAGATATCTTTCAAAGGGTCATCATCAGAAATAAATTCGCAATTTTTGGTTGTAGGTAAACATAAAGCCACACTATGGGCTATCCGTACGCTGTCCACCACGGGTATCGAAACCAGGATTCTAGCGATATAAGTTTGCAGACACACCGCTGTGGCATAAGGGGGGGGGGGGGCTCGTAATTTTTGTCGACATTTGAAAATTAAACACCTCACATCAAATTTTTTCAGATAAAGTATTTTGATTACCAAACGCGTTATATTAATTTGGCTTTATCGTCTTCTTAGTTTATTCGTTTCCGCTGTGATTAAACTCAAAATAATCTTCTAAATGAAAAATGAAATATTGTTACGTTGAATATAACCATTTACATCTCAGATTTTAGCAAATCTGTTTTTCATATGAACTGTTTGCTTTAAACACGTTTAAGTAATAAAGTGTATATGTAGTTTGAAAAAAGTACTAGTTGTGACTTTTTATATATTTTTTTCTTCCCATTCCAATATCAAAAACAAATAATGCACTCACTACGTTATATCATTTTATTGGATATTGATATTGTAGGTAATTGTACGCTTTATGTAAGAGTGAAAAAATCGGGATACGTTAAAAGCATTAATAATAGAGGTAAGTATTAAAATAATGCGTGAAAAATCTGTAAGCTTTACATGATACAATACGTTATTAAAATAGTTTTAGAAAACATAGCATAAGTAGATGATAGCATAAGATCGTGTCACTGACTTCTTGTTTACCGTGAGGAATCGAACCCCGGATTTTAGCATTGTAAACTCGTATACTTACCGCTGTGCGACCGATATTTAACACCCCTTGAAATAAACTCATCACTTGCTATATACATATATTATTCCAATTTCCTCACAAGATGTTCCTCTCACATATAAATACAAATTAAAAGACTATAAATTTTATTATTACAAGTACACCTTGGCGTTATAGGATAATACAGTAAATTAACATTTTATAAAATTAAAACAAATTGTCATTTTTATAATTATCACTTCTTGTAGTCATATTAAAAAAATGAATTAGTAATAGACATTCTGTTATTTATTACACCATTTGTACCCCTCAGTGGCCCAGCGGTATGTCTGCGGACTTGTATCCCTAGGAACTGGGTTTCAATACCCGTGGTAGGCAGAGCACAGATAGCCCATTGTGTAGCTTTGTGCTTAATTTCAAATAACCAAACAAACATATACACCATATGTATTTTTGTTTTAAATCCAGTCCGAATTGTTAGAAGTTAAAAGAGTTCTAAGTAAAGAAGGTAGTGAAACATATCACAATCATCTAACCAAATATATATAATTTGTGAATGAGATAATGACTGAGATACTGTTTAGGGAAACGAAATGATTATCGAATTAGTTTTGAAAGATTGTGTACCCTTTGATAACATTTATTCAAATATATCTTGAATTGAACTTTAACATACTACAACTGTATATATGTATCTATATATAACGTATGACTAAAATGTTGGTTTAATTGTTCTAAAATTTATTATTTGTTCTATTAAAGATATTATTCAAACATTACTCCAATTTGTGCTTTACACAAACTCGTTAATCCCGATAACGAATTGAATTTAAGTATTATAAATTTAATATCTAACTCTAATTAAATGCTTCACTTAAACATTTCTTTGTTTGTTTTTAGTATTTATAGTATAATAAACCAAAAATAATAACAGAAATATTCATGTAAGTGAGAATTTCTTATATTACTTTGCCACATTCTTGCAACATTCGCTACATTATTATAACACATAGGTGTAAATATAAACTTGCCACATGAGGTTAGAATAGATATATAACGGAACTTGAGAAACAAGAAATGAAACGAAGGATATCACGAGATTGATAACTAGAATCTGTTAAGGCAAATTGTGTAAGATACGGTTTTTTTCCCCTAATTTACTGTCATACGTATTTATATGCGATAAATAATTCCAGCGCAATGACAGTAAAATTACATTTGCATTAGTTGTTTGAAATTTACGGATGTGAGCGTAAACTTATGTTTTTGTACTTTCATAAAAACAAAATAGTTATTCAATTTTCAAAATTCAGTTTTCTATGTTCAGGTTTCATTATATTTAACCTAAGGGAATATCTACTTGATAAGGTTACATTATATTTAACCTAAGGGAATATCTACTTGATAAGGTTGCATTATATTTAACCTAAGGGAATATCTACTTGATAAGGTTGCATTATAGTTAACCTAAGGGAATATCTACTTGATAAGGTTGCATTATATTTAACCTAAGGGAATATTCAGAATCAGAAATGAAGGAATTAAGCGACGAACTACGGAAGTCTTTCAACACATTTTCAGATTTCAAATATTCTTGTCTTAATCGCAGTGATATTTACTCGCTCAAGAATAAACCCAGTTAATTAAATAATAAGATTAATATTTTTAGAAAGACCTTGGATTTAAAAAACTTCATTTAGTTCTCGTTAGAATGGACATTAGTATAAGCGCTGACTACCTGGTTACTGAAGTGACTAATGTTTCTGTGCAAGAAAAATGCATACGACAATCTTTATAAGCAGTTATGGAATGAGATTTCTCAAAACGTATATATATATAACAAAATAAATAAAAAATTGGGAATTTGAACACCTGTAAATAAGGTTCGTAAAAAGTAAGCAAACAAGGCTGGGGATACTGTAGACATTATTTACTCAAATTACAAACCCCTATTTTGTCTCCGCGCTATTACCTAGAATTACATTTGGTGGAGTGAAAATAGGGATTTGTAGTTTGAGTAACTAATGTTTACAATATATTCAGCTTTGTTTGCTTATTCTCTTACGATCCTTATTTGCAGGATTTTTAAATTCCCAATTTTTTATTTATCTTGTTTGCTGGCTTTTTATGCTCAACTATTAACAAAGAAGTACTCGATATGGTAGCTGACTTTATACATTGTAATGATAATAAACATAGCTAGCAGCTAACTGATACGGTTCATGATGATTTACTGTAGCTATTGACTATTTAGTCGCATTAGTTCGAGATGTAAATTGTTAAGCTGCAGCTGGAGATTTGTTTGAGAATATAGTGAGCATTTATAGTTTCTGTGTATCTAAATCCGCTCTCTATGTATACAGTGCATAACAATTTTATCAGTGTATTTAGCCTTTTCAAATATAACATATACGTCTAAAACATAGCTTTAAATAAACCTTCGTGTCTTTTAAAGTAATTATTCTACGAATTTGTATAATAAAATTATTATGTGTGTATTGACTTTTGTACTCTTTTACTTCATACATGATATAAGGGTTGGCTCCCTAAAGACACCGATTGTATAGTGTATAAAGTATTGAGTATTCACATGTTACAATCATCTAATCTTCGTCTATTATTGGCTGGTAATTCCTGTTTCATCCTCTATTTAAGCTTTTTAAAGGAACACCATATATTTGTAAAAGAAGCTAAGTTTAAGGGGTAATTATAACATCGTTTACACTAAAATTATGATTTTGCTTAAAGCTATACGACTCTGACAAAGGATTTAGATTTCCTTATGTTATAGTTTGCTTTGAGTTGTTTTGAATTTCACGCAAGGCTACACGAGAGCTATCTGCACTAGCCTTTCCTAATTTTGAGGTGACAGGCTAGAGGAAAGAAAGCTAATCAACACCACTTACCGCCAACTCTAGGGCTATACTTTACCAACGAATAGTGGGATGGACAGTCACATTATAACGCCTCCAAGACTGGAAGTTCAAGCGTGTTTATGAAAGGGTTTCGAACCTGAGACACTCAGATGGCAAGTCGCCTGCTCTAACCACCAGGCCACGCCATGCACTTCAGTCTGTTTAATTACGTTCTTTAGTCTTTGTTATAGTACTAAATTTTTAAATTGAAATAATGTTCATAAAACTAAGATTTTTTCATGCATTTTTAATGCTGTCTCTAAAGGTAGCTTAATGATATTACATGGTAATATGAAGAAGGTAGAGAATACAACTTTAATTTTTGTAACTTATGTTTATATGATAACTTTTAAGATTACAAATTAAATATCCAAATGTGTTTTATTATTAAATGCAAGTTAGAGCTTCTTTTAATAGCGATATTAGGTTTAAAGCTGTTTCTCAACCTCTCTGTCTAGTTCTTAACTTGCCAGTTCCACCCCCCAAAAAATGTTTTCATAAGCATCTGCTTTACAGAAGCCCCCCCAGTGGCACAGCGGTATGTCTGCGGACTTACAACGCTAGAATACAGGTTTCGATACCCATGGTGGGCAGAGCACAGATGGCCCATTGTGTAGCTTTGTGCCTAATTACAAACAAACAGACAAGCTTTATCGAAATGCCTTAACTCTGGCACCAACTAGTTGAAACTGTAAGTCTCTTAAATGTACTGTTTTCGTCCACAAAACCAATATTGTCTGACTCGAAAGACAGGCAGAAAACAACAACAGAAACAACAAAAACGCACATTTCAAGCGGTATGGTTAATCTTTAGTATAAATTGTAGATGTGTTTGTTCTATATCACTAGCGTACTGTACCTAACCTTAAATATACCTGGATATAGCAATGTCCGCCTTTTGGAGAGCTATCTGGGAGGCTCGAGCAGCTGCACTTACAGCTCCATCTATCCTCTCACGGAACTTGGTTGACCGAAGTAGGAATAGGTGTTTCTTCTTACCAGTAGTCAAAAGGACGTTGTTTTTGTACTTCCCTTCCTCCTTGGTACCATCTTTAAAAGTGGTGACTCCATAGCCGTACTTCTTGTTATTATACCATTCCCCCTCGTACTTGATTCCATCTGACCGTTCGGCTATTCCAAACCCACACCGCTTATCGTTCTTCAGCTCCCCCATGTAGGTCTCAACCGCATTTGCGTCCGTAACGTCATCCTGACTAACAAAGCTGTTATTGGAGTCAGTATGGGCCGAAGATCGAGTTATAGCCGAATGACTGGAACCGGAACTGATTGAACTGGTCACAGACCTTGTGCTCCGGACAGAACCGGAAACACCTTTTCTGTCAATATCTCCAGTACTTCGTTGTTTCTTAAGTTTCAAACCCTATAAGAATGTTAATATGAGATCTTAGGCGAATAGTAGAAGAGACGTTATTATTTAAAAGTTTAGCTGTAAAACAGATTGGCTAAAAATTCAATGAAGCAGAAAGAGTTAACAAGGAGTCAAGCTAAGTTACAAATTTTAATCATTTAAAAGAAAATGAAGATTCTCCAACAAAAAAAAAATATTTATACCTTTTAAGTAATATACCAACAACTACTAATGTATTGAAATTTATATGCTTGGCTTTGTGTAAACACTCTCTAAACGATAAGGGCTAAACTTCATTGAAAAAGACAGCCAAGGAATAATCCAATCGATTGTGACGAATGTATTCAACATATTAACTGTGAAATCAAGGTGAATGAAAACGATATTTTTAAGGTATGATTCACACAATTTATAGGTGTGAATTATGTGTTAAGGTTTACTCATCATATGCTCTGGTTCCCAAAAATAAAATATGTATAAAGCAATGTTTCACTCTATGGTGTTCCTTTTTTTTATTTCAAGTTGTTGCTGAAAAATCTTTATCTCTTTTTTTTCTGTCTCTTTTTTTTCAAGTTTTCGATCAATAAGTCTTTTAAGTTTTACGTTGATTGTGATGATACTCATACGATCCTTTGATCTATAAAACAATCTTTATATCAAACAACGAAAACAAGCAAATATCAGCAACATAACAATGTGGCTTTCTTCTTAATAATGTGTATTAATTCACCAGAAGTGTGATGATTCGTTGTAACAATCTAGTGTCTTGGCTGAAATTAAAAAAAAAACAATTGGTAACTTAGTGGCTTTAACTTCCATGTGAATCATTGGATGGTTTTATTCTGTCCAAGAGATACTTTTAATACAAGGAAAATATGGTTAAATGTTAAACTTTATATAATAATTCTAAAGTTAGTCAGTATTTATATACAGTTGTCCCGATGACGTTAACAAAAACTGATTTTGAAAATGTGTTCCAAATTATAAAAATGATAATAAGCTATTTCAACAACACGATATATTACAGCATCAATCCAGAGATTTATGTGGATAGTCTTTGTAAATAATAACAATAAAAGTGTTAGCCTGTAGTAGTAGGAGAGACACGAAGGATTGTGTGTACATATTTATTTAATTTCTTACTGAAGACTATTTGCAAATGAAAGAAACAAAGTGCTTACTGACATTAAAACTTTAAGTATAATATAAATAATGTTAATCAAGGTATTAATTAATGCAATGATTTACACTAATCATTTTTAAAGTTGCGTATATGAATTGCAAGCAATCATAATATATTGTTAAGTTGTTATCGTACTAAACTTTCATTCCATTTCATATAATCTACTTATTTGATTTAATTATGACTGTAAACTTATGAATAAAAATTAAATGTACCAGTATTTTGTTTTATACCACCATAAGTTTATTAACGAATACTATAAAGTATTGCTCTAAATGTTTTCTGTTACTCCCTACAATTTAGCAAAGTTGCGTGGCTACAGTTTGCCTTTCTCAATTTCAGTATAAGCCCAAGCAGCATTAATAATAATAATAATACTCATATCAGATCCTTGTAAAGGCCAAGGCATCTTTGCGAGTATTTCATCAGCCTCGTTTCCCCCAGGTATCGTTTCACTACGTTTGCTGTATGCTTGGAATCGTCATCTTGCGATGAAATGGTGGAAAATAATTTGCTTGTGCTTTCCTGTAGTCAAGGTGCCATTAATTTTCAAACCCCATTAGGTGAGATGTAGTCACCACTCGTATTGATCCCCCAGCATACTTGAATATTGACGTTGTATGTTGACTGTGGTACCGTACTCCACTGTACCATCAAACAAAATATCGTTAATTGTCACCTAAGTTATAAATTTGGATTCATCTGTAGAGAGCGCCCTCCTCTAACTTCGCTCATCTCATTGTTTGATGTCTCATACACATTCAGCCAATTGATTTAATGCATTTTCGTCGCAATTAGTTTAGTGGAGTAGCTTTCACCAATTATAATTTTGATTCGTACACTTTTATGTCATCAGCCACTTCCGTCTTGGAGCCATGATTTTATTTACCACACTACTGTCGAGAATAGTATGTCTGCCTCTACGTTTGTAGGCATTATGCTGGTATGGCACTGTCTTATTCGTTAGATGACGCCAACCACGTGAAATTATTTTCGTACAATACAATGGGCACAGTCCCATAACATTTTCATTTTATAACCATTTTATTCGCACGTTACATAATGATTACGAATACTATATAGGAACGTTGTATAAGGTGGAATGCTCATTTAATGAGAAGTTCTTCAAAAATTTATTTAATAATATATGCTATTTTTGGTTGCTTTGGTGACTTTTGTATTTTATTTCTGTTATTTCTTCTTTTCATTTACTCAACCGATTGAAAACGAATATCGGTGGTTTAGATAACGCTTAAATATCAACACCTCCCTTTAATTGTAACTTTAAATATCCTTTTTTTTATCAAGGCTTAGAAATGAATATTAATCTGATAAACGACGTATATCCGATGCTCCCTGTGTCCTATATTTCCGCAGAAACTTTTTCCACTAAGTTAGATTCGTTCTACTCTTCCAACTCTTCATTTTATGTTGTAATTTTATATTTCTGTTGTATACATGAAACACCGACGGTCTTTTGGTCTGATTGGTTAATTGAGATCTACGATAATCAAAGGTTTGGATATACTATAGTATTATGTCATCTTTACTCTATGTATTAAAATTAAACATCAGTGTCATATTATCATTAAATACACAAAAATTACACATCTGCCACATTCACTTATTACGTTAATGTATATAACAAAAACTTCATTTGCCCTTTAATTTTGCAAACTAATACTGTTCCTCTTCAATTTGGGATAAACGTAGGCGCATCTTATAACCATTGAGTTGATAGAGAAACAATTAGATTGACGGATTACTTTATTATGTTTAGTTGATTTACTTAAAAATATTTACCTGAAGAATCGACTTTTTTAGGTTTGCTGACTTTTCCACCAGAGAACGTCGCCGGGGTGGAGGTTCGTCACTTTTCGTTTTTAAGACGAAACCACCACGACAGTCGTCAATCTTTCGATCTCTTTCGCTGGCTGGATCAACATGCTCACTGCGGAGTGATGTCGTCGATGCTTGAATATGCTTCGGACGGAAAAGAGAGGCCAGTCCAAAGGGAGCGCTAGTACGAACCCCATAACCATGTCGTAATCCCCTGAGCCACTGACCTTGATAAATACCTGAAAATTTACATGTTGGTTAAAGTTTTGTAAACATTTTTCAACACCGAAAGACCACTTATATTATAACAAACAAGAAAAAAGTTGGACAGTATTATTCTCTGTTACGTCAGACGTTCTACACCCTAAAACTCGGAATATTATAAACTTATGTTTCAATTAAACGTTTGTATGTTATAACCCCGCCAGCCTGATTATCTCTGATTATAAGTGAAAGGTCTTTCCTACAGCGTTATAACACTGTTATATATCTTTCTTAGTGAAAACCTTTATTGGTACAATAAAGAATGACGAAACGATGTAATTTAAATTATCATCAATATTAATGTTATGTTATATCGTACATATTGATACTAAATGACGTGCTATGTCAGATAATGCTTTTTACACCCCAATCTTTTACTTTATGATGTTCTAACTAAAGGGCAGTTCTCTAAATCAGGACAATTTTTATTGTTCGGAATTTTTATCCGAGGTTTAAAAATCTTAAATCGATACTGATATGCATAACTTTATTATTTTAAGTCTAAAATAAAGTACACGCTTTCATTTCATGAAATTATTTAAGAAATAAAACCCACAAGTCTTTGCTTAAAATCTTTTTGAAACAGTCACGTAGAGAAATAATCTAAGCACCTAAAACAATGTCATTATATGTCTAATATTCAACCAGAGCTTTCAATATTTAATTTGTATTAGGTGTATTGAATAAAGAATAGATGTATACGAAACCGATGACATAGGTTACATCTTAATTACTTTCTTTACAGTATAAACAATACTTGAGTGACTTGATGAGTGATACTGAACAGTTAACAAAAGTTTTTATCATTGTAAAAACAATTATGTATATGTTAATAAGAACACAAAAAGAAAGTATTTCAGCTTGACTCTTTGAACAAAAATATGTTACCTATATCAATTTTTTCACAGTTGTTTAAGGCTGTATGAAATCCTACAGTTAAACTGGAAATTTAATTATGTATAACCCTAGCCCGTTAAAACGTTGTAGTGAGCAGAATTCAAGACAGGCAACCTTGAAAATGTACTGATTGACTGGTTATGGGGTATTAAAGTATTTAGTATTTTACAGAACTGAACTTCAAGCAAGGAGGTAGAGAAAATGCATGGATAAAAATTTCATTGCAAACTGGCAGTCAATAATATTAGTAAGTACGCAGGTCACTTATGTTTTGTTAACTCATGGGATGACACGACCATAAAGCAACGAATTACACAAAATTCGATATTCCAACGTTAAATCGTCAGAGACTTAGTTCTCAACATTACCATACTTGTATTGATTTGCTGGTGCAATATCAATGTAAGACGATTTCGAGAAGTCCCCACGGGAACTTGTTCAACGTAGTTGAAACAATGTTACATTACCTGAAGCCTCTTTCTATTCGTTAGACATTTGAATTGTTGTGGTGAGAAATCCCATATATGATTTTGTAGTAATGTTTATAAATAACAGTCTTATATAATATATATGCATATAAATTTCAATATCAAGATTTCCTGTAAGTCGTTTCTAAGAATTCGGAGACACATGCTCTTTCTAGTTACCTTAAAATGCGATTTACTTAAAAACCTCGAATATTTATTTTACAGGGTATTAGGCAAAGCAATCTTTGTTCAGCTTCTTAAATCAAACGGGGATTTGACAGTAAATTATTTGTTACACATAGAAATACCTAGGTAATATTTCTATGATTATTAATGCTAAGGATATAGCTTGTAGGAAGTAAGAATTTTAGGAAATACTTCATCGATTTTGAAACAAATGACGTCATTATCCTTGTCAAACAATATTTGTACTCTGACCTCATTTAAAACTTCTACAACATTAAATTATGGGTCGAGTATAGTCTAGTGGTTTGCTTACCGGACTGTGGACCGAGGATCCATAGTTCGTATTCTGTTGTCCCACACTGGAACAGTGGGTGCGTTATGAGTGACAGCATATCCCATTGTTCGATTATTAGAATAGCCCAAGAGAAGTCGACGGGTGCTGTTGATGTAGCTGCTTCCCTCTATCCTATCAGTTTAAAATTAAAGACAACTATTCTAGCTAGCCCTTGTGTAGCTTTGCCTCCCCTCTATCCTATCAGTTTAAAATTAAAGACAGTTATTCTAGACCGTTCTTGTGTAGCTTTGCCTTCCCTCTATCTTATCAGTTTAAAATTAAAGACAGTTATTCTAGACCGTTCTTGTATAGTTTTGCCTTCCCTCTATCTTATCAGTTTAAAATTAAAGACAGTTATTCTAGACCGTTCTTGTGTAGCTTTGCCTCCCCTCTATCTTATCAGTTTAAAATTAAAGACAGTTATTCTAGACCGCTCTTGTGTAGTTTTGCCTTCCCTCTATCTTATCAGTTTAAAATTAAAGACAGTTATTCTAGACCGCTCTTGTGTAGCTTTGCTGGAATTTTCGAAACAAAACTAACCAACTAACTACATGAATACTTATTTGTTATGATGATCTAAAACAAACAGAAAATGATCTAAGACAAACATAAATCATTTCTAACACAACCTGTCCTTATCAGCATCATGGCAAGTAAAATATATGAATCAATCAAGAAGTTTTTTCTTTAATTAAAAACACCAGCCACAAAAGTAGTTTTATGTGAATATAGTGATACATAATTACAGGGTTATAATAAGCATATACCGATGCATTGAGATAATATAGCAATAAAAACAACTTAATGATAACTCTGTTTAAATAATAGTTGAATTGTTCCAATGTCAAAGTAATAAAATAGCCTTTATTTCTAGGACTGAATAGCTAGCTTCAGGAAAGTGACTATTATTTAAACCCGATTTTTAGAATATATTATACATCCAAAAACGCTAGAGCGAAGAAAAGGCAAAATTATACATTTTATGGTATCTCGTAAAAACAGCAAAGTAGAGCAACTTACATCATTTGTATCATTTTGTTTATTTACTGTAAAATTGAATTAACTGAATTTACGTTTGCCTTAGCTCTTAATTCATACATCACATTCAATGTAACTCAGATTTATCATTATTTTATAACCTTACCTCGAAGGAGAAGCAACTCATACGGGGCAGTTTTATTCAGATTAGGATATTGCTAATATTACAGGTATTTTCTAGAAGATTACATGGAATTGGAAAGTGTGTTACCTTAAAGTATGAAACGTATAAGAAAGGCCCTGTATAAGCAGTGACATCAGATGACTGTGTTGTTTGATACTTTCCAGAATGTTTATATAAAACACAATATATTGCAATATTTGAGAAATACAGGAACTTATTCTAGGTGATCTTCTTCAAAGTTTGTTTTATTATATGTAATATTAATATTGGCCATTTTAACAGCGAAAACGTTAATTACACAAACACCAAGATGTACAGTAAGAGTTAAAGTTAAGCCAAGTAAATATATGTAAGGATATATATATTATTTTGTAATATTTATACATCTTTCATTCCAGTTCTTCATTATATGTTATACCTTTTTAACTAATAAGTTAACGCCGAGTTCCCAAAACACTTTATTATGTTCTTTTATTTCCTCTTTTAACTCATACAATAATTCTAATTAATGTTGGTAGTGGCAATTTTATAATACCGAAATAGAATATATTTTTCCACCATCGTTGCTCCTATTATGTTTATATTTTGTTATTCTTTTCTTAAATATGGAGAATGTCTTTTTGGTCGAGAATTTCTTAGTTTAAAAATAATCTTTGAAAATAATGTTCTTCACAAGTATATTCAAACTATTTTCTATAAATGTTCTACAATGTTCGCATTGTACATAACTGACCAAGACAGACAGAAACCTTAGTTATTTTGTAAACTTTCCTTTTGATTATTTCTACTTTCTAACCATTACGAAAATGACTAAGAATGTCAAGTCTGGTCCTCCGGTGGGTTAGTTTACGGACTTTTAATGCTAAAATCCGGTGTTCGATTCCTCGCGGTAGACAGAGCGAAGATAGCCCATTGTGTAGCTTTGCATTAATACAACAACAACACGCATAAAAAGTCTAATTTGATCACTGTGTTGAACTCGTATCCTTGAGCTATGATTGTCAAATGACTAAGAGTATCTGAGTGTTTGTGCACTCGGTTTAATGCATAGTTCCAGAGCGTTTTTCTCTTATTTTCACTAGGACAATACATGACTTAATGGCTGACTTGATGGGTTGCGGATCATATAACATGTCCAGTGTTCGAGACGTGATGCTACTGAATACGCTTCGCACTTTCAATTACTGGCATGTTATAAAGGTGACAGCCAATCCTATTATTCGATTAAAAAATCCAGCCAAAACATTTGTAACGGCGTATGTGACTGGCTGGATGCTTTCCCTTGGGCCAGTAGTTTAAAACTACGAACGGGTAAACCTGTACCGTAGGGGTCTGTGATCTAGCATAAGACAGCGTTAAAGTTTAAAATTCAAGTTCTTTGAATGTGGTTTTGCTACATAGTAGGTCGGTATACAGTGGGAAAACCATATATTACCAGTCATTTTCTCACTCCACTGAGGGAAAGAAAGACTTCTTTTTTTTGTGTTTTATCTAAAATTAAAAATGCTATATGGAAAATTTTCAAATTTAAAATCAATTATTCGATTGTTATTTACAAAAAAAATACACTATTTTCACTAAAAACAACAACCAGTATTAAACACTTTAAAGTTATTGCTCTTAAAAGAAAATATACAATCTTTCATCATTCAAGGTGCAATGTCAGTTCAATGTATAAATACACTTATGTCTTGCCCACAGCGTATCTGAGTGTACTATTTCATGCTCATATTTGGTTAGATTATTGATTTTGTTGACATTAGCCTACAGTTCTACGCATTCAGGAGTAAATGAAGTATTTTTAATGCATAATATCCGAGAGGAAAATTTCTGAGGCTTATGTATCCCGTAAAATATGGTAATGAAAGAGATTTGGAATTAACATCTAAATGAAATACTACTACCCAAATTGTATTTAATAACCCTGAT